AATAGCACAAGCATGTATACACGAATAGTATTACAAATTTGGGATGTAGTACATATACAAATGGGATGGGAATATAACTCTATGTTAATGCCAATAGTGTCAACAAAGTTTTTTCTGCTGGGTAATGAAAATATAGCGGGGAGGTGGATAAAAAAGGAAGATGCACAATTAAGGGATATAATGAAAGGAGAGGAAATATACCCATTTATGGAATTGAAAAATAAGAAAGAGTTATTCACTAAATTTGACGAGTGGCATTATTTTCAATTAAAACATTTTGTTGAGAAACTTCCCAAACTCTTAAGAACAAAGGATAAATGGAATCCATTTGAACACTTAATGAATACATGAGGTGAAGGAAGCATGGGACTTCTAGAGTATATAAAATTTTCACTAGATTATTAATGAACACGATTCCTCCATATATTGAAAAATGGGAAAGAGAATTAGGAGTAAAAATAGATGAGGAAAAGCAAAAGAAAATATATAGATTAACACATGAAAATGTAAATATGAAAGATGTGGAAATGAACTATAAATTTTTGTCGAGGTGGTATATTACACCGAATATAGCACATAAACAATGTAGAGATAATTCAACTTTGTGTTGGCGGGGATGTGGGGAAAAGGGCACAATGTTACATATATGGTGGGAATGTATTAAAATTCAAGAGTATTGGGAGGGAATAATTCACCAGATTCAGAGGATAACGGAGATTAAAATCCCAAAGGATCCAGTGACATGTCTCTTTCATGGTACTAAATTCTCAGTAGAAAAATAGAAAAACTCTGGTTTTTATAGGAATGGATTAAAGAATAGAACCGTTCTAATATAGAGGCGAGAGGAAATAATATAAACTAGAAAATAAGTCAAAGTAAAATAGTATCCTGTAGGATTCCCAGGAGAAAGGAAAATAGAGTGTGGAACAAGCGGGGTGGGGGAGGGATATGAAAAAGGTAAAATTAAATTAGATCATGTAAATGTTAGAACATTAGTTATTTGAAAAGTAAACATGTTTACAATGAATGTATGTAATAATTTATTATGGAAAATGAATAAAAATTTAAAAAAAAATAATAAAGAGGAGGACTCCCTGTCTGTTTTTGATCTACCAGTGTCCATTCACCTATACTGTAGGTGGTGCATATCTCAGATAGTAATGCTTATAGCCTGCTCTGTGTCCTGTGATGTATGGTAAAGAAAACTCCTTTTTGGTATGTGTCTTTGTTAATGCAATCAAATCAAAAGAACGTTTGTATGAGATCTTGGCAATGGTACATTGCATTTTTTAGGTTTCTTTTTGTTGGAATCAGTCTGACCCTCAGACCTCTAGAGATCCTCTTCACTCTGTGATATTCAGCAAGTGTTAAGCTATGCAGTTCCAAAGAAACTAATCTCCAATGTAGCTTCTCTAGAGATCCGGTATGTGTACAAACATGATGTAGTCACTTTTGAAGAAATGCCTATAGCCTCTCTCTGTATTAGAAAACACTCTGTTGAAGTATGTGTAGCACTACCCCCTTACAATGTGCTGAGTTTTGGGCCCCCCTATAGTTCTGCATAGCCAGGCAACACACATTTTCCTCAGACCTTGCACACAGGACACAGTCAACACTCCTTGAGCTTGTTTTTTGTAGATTTTATTAAGAGGTATTGAACTTAGATGGAGTTGAGGGGTGTCAGGGATACCCAGGAGAACTGTGAACTGAGGACAAACTCCTTAGCAACTATGTACAAGTCCATTTGACAACAAAGTCTCTTGGTCGGAACAGCTCTCCAGGTGTACCACCTCAGACCCCAGATAAAATCTCCTCTTCACCCAGCTGCCTGAGGGAATCCTTGGGCAAGGGGACCCAGTATCTGCCACCTTTGAATCAACACTCCCAGATGGGGGCTAGTCAGATTTCCTAACCAGAATGCCCTCTCCCCTTATCTGGTCCATGGGGCGCGGGATTACTCACCCAGTCCTCTCCTGCAAGCTTGTGGATTGGTGGCTGCCTTCAGGCCTTACGCTAATATGGCTCCTTCCCTGCTTCCCAGGCTGTCCTCTCTCAAGGGACAGTGGAGGCTGAGAGATCCTCCCTTCCAGCTCCTGCCTGCAGGTAGGTCCCTCTCCTGGACCCCCTCCCAGGCTCCACCCTGCATCCTGCTCACTCCATCTTCCATCTGAACTCTCCTGCTACTGAACAGGCTCTATCACTCTTAAAGGCTGTCCTGACCCCAAACCAAGTCTCCTGCTTGGAGATTCGTCAGGATCCATCATGAGTGCAGACCAGCTCCTCCAAACACTCACCCACTGAGTTCTAGAGACTTCTTCAAGTCTTCTAGATCAGGGGGAGGTATCAGTGAGCTGATCGTCAGAGCCTCTCAGCCCTGACCCAAATTTGATTCCCTGACAATTACCCCAGGATGCTACTCAACTATCTAACAAAAAAAAATTATTAGCAAGCTCTCCCTAGCTAACTAAGAGGGTTCTACATATGTAGTTAATCCAGATTCCATAGAAAACTATGTTAGAAAGCTCAATGAAGAAAAATACCACTTGTAGATAGGTGAACTGCATGTTGTTAGTTTTAGGCTCTGTCCCCACTAGTGCAACTTTCTTGCAACTGTACACTCTCTGGCACTCAAGTCACTGAAAACTTGCATCAAAGTAGTGCAGGAACCTTTTTCAAAGTTGCTGTGACTTTAAGTCATAGATTGGAACTGGTGAAATTGAAATCAATGGGATGCAACTTGACATGCAACTTTATGCATCCAAAGTTGCTTGACAAGTTGCACTAGTTAGAACACAGCATAACTGACCACAACTAATCAGGGAAGAAATAATGACATAGTGAATAATCTGAATGTGACAACTCTTGAAAGTTCTTCCAAATCTAAAAAATAAACAAGTGCAATAAGAGCAAAATAAGTAAAGTTTATAATCTTTGTTGAGTCCCTTGGGGTGCAGTTATGAAAGTTTATGAATCCTTTTTCTAAAAGAATGTATGGTGGATTCATATACATTCATTACATTTTCAGGTAATCAGTTCATTAGTTGTCATTCAACTCTGGCAACATCTAGATGATGCAGAGAGCAAGTATAGCAGAGGACATTTCCAGATTACTAGTGGATATCGCAGCTGATTTTTTAAATATATATTAATTTGATTTTAGCTGAGTGTATTTTATTTTTTATTTTGTGCTTGCTGAGGTATTTATTTTTTATTTGTGCTTGGAATTCTTGGTGCGCTGTGTTTTGTATTATGTCAGATATTGCAGCTGGCTTTTTTTATTTTTCCTGCTATTTTTTTTTATATGTGCTTGGAATTCTGTTTTTTGCATACATCTTTCTTTTTCTGTTATGTCAGACTTGTTCCATTATGTCAAATATTATGTCAGACTTAAAAAATGCAAATTTAAAAATGCTTACTTTTATTCTACAGGTAAACATTTTAGAGGTAAAGGTGAAACATTGCATATGCAAGCATGAGGCTACTATAGGCAAGTATACACATACCTGAATGTATAGAAAAGGAGACCAAAACAATTCCCTATAAAACAGCACTAGTCTAAATACTAACTGGAAAGCAATCTTTATTGAAGTGCTAAAATAATTATTGTGCAATCATTTTGTAAGCAGTTAATGACTAGTGTTGTATAGGGGAATACTTTATTTACCTTTTTTATAAATAACACAGCTGCTGGTGATTTACTCTTAGGGTGTTTTGGATTGATGTTGTATTTCACATTTATGTATATACAGAGTTTCTTTGCAGGGTGGAATGGTTAATATCATTTTACAAGCACATACTTGCAACTGAATGAGCCAAAGGAGGGACACATCCTTTTCCTGTCTCCTAGCAGTGACAGATCTATCTCACCTTTTTGAGCACTGGGGACTCACCACTACACCCAAGCACAGGTCCAGTGATTACTGTTGTACCTGCGTACTTCTCTACTGATTGCTCTGTACCCACACACTTTTTTATTGACTGTCACACCTGTGGTCATTTTTACTTCTTTACAGCCAAACCCTGAAAGCACATAATGATGTGAAATAATGATTATTTCTTCTGTGGCTGATCTTAATTCATTAACTCACCACTCCTTCTGACATATAACAATATGTGAGTGTATGTTTATATTGTGTGTAGAATGATATCAGTTTGCAGAGCAAGCACATTCCAAAGTCAGATAAGTTACAATTTGCATAACTGACATTTTATTACTGTAGTTAACGACAATGTAGTAATACTGTTGTGCAATATCGAATGAAAACTTTTACTTTACTTGAAGGCTGGGTTCACACTGAAGCGGTGCGAATTCCGCACCGCATCAGAATTGCACTCTGTTCATGCGAACCGATGCAGGTGTGTATATTAACCACTTGCCTACCAGGCACTTATACCCCCTTATTTACCAGGCCAATTTTCAGCTTTCAGCGCTGCCGCACTTTGATTGACAATTGCGTGGTCATACAACATTGTACCCATATGAAATTTTGATCATTTTTTTCTCACAAATAGAGCTTTCTTTTGGTGGTATTTAATCGCCACTGGGCGCTTTACTTTTTGCGCTATAAATAAAAAAAGTGCAAAAAATTTGAAAAAAAAAAAAGTTTCTTTGTTTCTATTATAAAATTTTTCAAACAGGTATTTTTTCTCCTTCACTGATGTGCGTTGATGAGGCAGCACTGATGGGCACTGATAGGCGGCACTGATGGGCACTGATAGGCAGCACTAAAGAGCACTGATAGGCAGTACTAATGAGGTAGCACGGATAGGCGGCATTGATAGACAGCACTAATGAGGTGTCACGGATAGGCGGCACTAATATGCAGCACTGATAGGCGGCACTGATAGGTGACACTGATGATGGGTACTGATAGACTGCACTGACTGGCATCACTGCTGGGCACTGACTGGTGGCACTGACTGGCACAACCCCTGGGCACTGACTGGTGGCACTGACTGGCAGCACTGCTGGGCTGCACTGGTGGGTGGCACTGGTGGGCAGCACTGGTGGGTGGGCACAGGTGGGTGGCACTGGTGGGCACAGGTGGATGGGCACTGGTGGGTGGCACTGCTGGGCACAGGTAGGTGGCACTTCTGGGCGCAGGTGTGTGACACTGCAGAGTGGCACAGGTGGGTGCACTGCTGGGCACAGGTGGGTGCACTGCTGGGCACAGGTGGGCGGAGCTAGTGGGCGCACTGCTGGGCACAGGTGGGCGGAACTTGCGGGTGGCACTGCTGGGCACCGATCATCAGGGCAGTGATCATCAGTGCCCTGATGATCGGTGCCGATCCCCGCTCTGACAACTGCCGGTTCTCGGCAGTACTTTCCTCATGATCTGACAGCGTGAGGAAAGTGCAACCTGAGAACCGGCACTTGCATTTCCCTCTGATCAGCGTGTCATTGGACACCGCTGATCACGTGGTAAAAGGCCGCTGTGATTGGCCTCTTACCACATCACGTGATCAGCTGTGTCCGTAGGACACAGCGATCACGGAGATCGCCGGGTGCGCGCCCCCTGGGACGCGCAGGAGAGCGCGTTCTGGGAGGACGTCATATGACGTCCACTCAGAACTTGCCGGCCGCAGTGCAGCCGTCATTCGGCTATCTGCGGTCGGCAACTAGTTAAGTTAACAACACCCCGAAAAAAAGGTCTGTAAAACACGGTGCGATGTGCAGAATCGGATCGCATAGGTGTGAATACTCATGCGATTCGATTCTAGTGCGGACCCAAAAAAGGGTCCTGAACCTTTTTGGTGTGGGTGAGGTGTGATTGGAGCCATACTGACTTCAAATCAAAAACCCCTAGATTTTTTTTTTTTTTTTTTTACTATTAGGTTCCATGCTATTGGGCTTCAAAATATGTTGCTTGGTGCTCTCAGCACTGGTGTGTGGGTGCTTGTAAATCAATTTTCAACTACATGTAAAATCATTTATTGTACCACTAATTAATTGTGCTAAAACCCGAAATGATATACATTTACTTAGGTTTTACATATTTTTATTTTCTTCAATAAAAGGTAGATTGGCAGGGCTTTGTCAATAAAATTAACACGTAGCAAAGATACAAAAGCGTTGGAAGAATTTCCTCTCACTTCTTGTTTTGGCTATTCAACAGAAAGTGAAAGGAAATCTCCCCAATGGGACACAGATGGCAAAAAAAAATCTGAAAGGGGTTATAACCTTCCCTTGCATTATCAAAATTGAAAATTAAAAAAAAAAAGTTTTGCCTTTGGTTCTACTTTACTACATTAAGTGCATGCATGCTAAGTAATATGTAGGTGTAACCCTTATATTAACTCTCACAGAAATCAAGATGATTCCCCTGACAATGCTTTCATTTTCCTGGCTCACCAGAAGGCCAGGCCTACCTTTGTTCAGGCATTTTGCAGGGTGATATTGGGATGCCAGCCCCAGAATAACATGACCATGTCAATTCTGATGCTTGCACAATAGTCCATAGGTTTTTGGTCACGTTTTTGGCAATCATTGTACAGTTCAGCTTTTCTGAAAAGTTATATGGTTGCCAGGGCCGCAAATAAGCAGGTACCTCTGGACCTCCTGTAGGGGGCTCGGGCCCTGTCACTTCAACACAGAGGGGCCCAGCAAGCTGGCAGCTTCAGTTTTCTGCATGCTTAGTGTTACAGCTGATAGCGCTGCTTATCTAAGTATAGGGGAGGGGCAGACAAATGCACTGCACTGGCTGCAGTGACAGTTGCTCCTCCTCCTGCCCATCTTTATCCAATCAGCAAACACTGTACCTCCCTCCCCCCCTTCTCAAACCACATTTGACTGTATATGGAAGATGCTGGTGGCTGGAGCGGGGCTGAAAGGGGGCGCCGGGAGGGGAGACATAAAAAACCTGAACCCCAGTAACTACAAAAACAAGGTACGATCAGAAACAACTGTGTCACTGATCACTTGTAATGCCAGCCAATCTTATCAATGTGTTCAGGAAGTGTGTAGGGTAGACAGTATACATACACGCCTCTCCTCTGTCTTGTCTCACTCCTTATGAAGGCCATAGATGGGGTGGAAATCTGGCGATTTTTCATCCGACAGAAAAATCGTCAGATATTCATGCTGTGTGTGGGTCATTTCGTCGTCTGTTTTTCGTGTTTTTTGCTCTTTTGGATTATCGGTCATGTTGGAAAATTTTTGGTAAACGACCGATTTTCATCTCATTGATGGTCAAACTGTACGATTTTCTAAACAAAAAATTTATGCACGTGTGCGCTGACCTGGAAAGAAAAGAAGTTTCTCATGGATGAAATTTCTTTTGCTGGAGAAAGGTCAAACGTTCTAGCATGTAAACCAAACATTATTTCATGTCTTCCTGTGTTATTAGCTTTGTGTGTGATTTACAAAAGAACACTCTTTTTTTTATAACTGCCGAATCTAACCTGCAAGCTGCCTGAACACACTGATAAGATCAGGGGGCATTACAAGTGACCAATGACACATGGTTGATGTTGGCTTTGGAGGATTTACTGCCAGCTAAAGCTAGCAGCTTCACAAATTCATGAACTATTCACTGTCCTGCACTGCTCTTGACCAGTTGTCTGTTTTATAAGAATGGAAGATTGGAAGTGCTGCTGCCTTCTGTCACTTATACTTTGTAAAGGGGATTTCTGACTTGATCTTGCAGAGCTGGTTTAAGTAGAGCGGAGCAGCCCTGCAATATTAACCACTTTTACACTGGGTTCAGGCATAAATGCAGTCTCTGGCAGTCTCCTGTACTCCTAGATTGTAAGCCCCAAGGAGCATGGCCCTCCTAACCCTCTTGTATTGATCTGTATTGTTGCTGTATTGTACCCCCTTTGTATTGTAAGGCGCTGAGAAAACTTTTGCGCCATATAAATCCTGTATTATAATAATAATATCGGCAGTCTCTGACCATCTCCTGTATTATGTCTGCAGTCTCTGACCATCTCCTGTATCATGTCTGCAGTCTCTGACCATCTCCTGTATCATGTCTGCAATTTCTGACCATCTCCTGTACCATATCTGCAGTCTCTGACCGTCTCCTGTACTACGCCTGCAGTCTCTAACCATCTCCTGTACCATATCTGAGGTCTCTGACCATCTCCTGTAGTATGTCTGCAGTCTCCGACCATCTCCTGTAGTATTTCTGCAGTCTCTGACCGTCTCCTGTAGTATGTCTGCAGTCTCTGCATGTGCATGGTAGGTGTAGAATAGAGGGATTTTTTTTCTTATCTGGAGCACAGGCGGATTTGCACCACATGCTGGAGCTGCATTTGTCAATGGTAAAATGAAAGGCCTTGCTCACAGTCCCTGCTGCTGGTGGAGTAATATCAGCCTCCTCACTGCCTGCCTCCTTCAGCAAGTAAGTGCTGACGAGAGGGCAGCTCAGTCTTAGGGAAATAGCGGCACACCAGGCGGAAGGCTCAGGCTGGCAGCTATCATCATTATCATCAGTGCAGCCGACAGTGGCAGAGCAGAGGCAGCAGTCAATCTGCAGGAGTCAGCACACAGATGGATCATCTGCAGAGAATTCTCACAAAAGGTACAGGGAGATCAAAATGCACACACACCTTTTCCCCATGCCATGCCCTGCTTTTGCCCATGATGAATTGTACAGTCAGCAGCCAAATGTTATCATCATCATTTCACAGTACAGGGGCTTTTGAGCCATAGCACCTGTATTGTGTGGTTATCATGAGGATAATGGAAGGACAGTGAAATGCATCCTACATTGGTGGGTAGGGCCGGTGAAAATTGTAGCGGCAATTCCTCCTGTGGCTCTCAGCAGGTAGGTGCGGTTGCTGGCCCCATTCTCTATAATGGCAGGTCACCGATGGCCTTCATTTTGTTTTGAGGCAGACTCAGGGGAGGGGCCAGGGGTGGGGTCAAGGGCAATGTTGAAGGGGGCCCCGTCAGGTAGGCTATAAGGGGCCCCATTATTTCTAACAGCGGCCCTCATGCAGACTGCTAATGTTACTGAAAGGTTTACTAAATTTCACATTGCAGAGCTTCATGCTGATGTGAAATCATCTTGCTTTTGCTTACCTTGTATATTTTTGCCTCTTGGTTCTTCTGAGGTACTGATGACATAGCTAGGGCCGCACAGAGGCCTCCAGGGAAGGCCTCCTCACCAGTGCCTTACAGGGAGAACTTATTTTCAAACTGTAAGATCTTACAGGAAAAGAAATTGTGTAACACGGTTGTAGTTCTAGAAGTGAGACCTCTTCCACACAATTCTGATCTTGAAAGATGGTTCCACTATTACATTTTGAGCCCTTTCGCATGAGCTTTGTAATCAGATCCATCTGTCAGTTTTTCAGGCAGACCTGATCAGAAGCTTTATTAGCAGGTGGACTTGTGTTTGTTTACACCCCTCTACCTCTGCTTTTGCCCAAGTGCGCAAATAAAACAGAAAAGGACTGTGTTCCGTTTTTCTGGACCTAAATGTAACAGATAGGATGTAGACTGCTGTAAACGGACACAAATCCATTTTACCTCCAGCTGCCTATAGAGCCATTATGAGTCTGCTGTGTGAATGTGAACACAAACCGAATGGGCACAGATGTAAGGTTACCACCTCATCCCTTTAATACTAAACACATATTAAAGCGGAGCTCCAGCTAAAAAAAAAAAAAAAATCAGCAGCTACAAAAACTGTTGCTGCTGACTTTTAAAATACAGACACTTACCTGTCCCTCGGTCCAGCGGTGTCCTCACCATGGCTGGTTTCAGCCGTCTTCTCTCACTGGCACCGGCATCTTCAGTGTGAGCACCTGGCTGTGACAGCTTGCGGCTTCACAGCCAGGTGCCCGCTGCACATGCCCGAGAAGCACTGCGCTTTGTGAATGGCCCCATAGTCTTCTGAGACCTGTCACGTGTCCTCCCAGAAGACTACAGGGAGGGACGGGGGAGGACAACCTCCGCTTCCAATTGCCTTAGGCGGACCTGTCAAATTCGGGTACCTGCTCACCCCCACTCCCCAAAGGTGCCAATCCTTAATGGGGAGTGGGGGACAAAGCCTTAAAGTGGAACTTCCTCTTTTGGGTGGAGCTTCACTTTAATTACACAGGTGCTGAGGCTAATTTAATGCAGATAAGACACTAAGTGAGTTTAATTACCACCCTAATCAGGCACAGAACCTGTGTAATTAATATGTGTTCGGTTTTAAAGTGATGAGGTGGCAATCCTACACAGATGTAACAAAACTGACATTGGTTCCATTTGGCTCAGATTCAGCAGAGGATCTGCTCATGGATCCCCTGCTGAACGGAGTGGATCCGTGTGAAAGAGCTCATTGTCAGTATCACCTGTTGTAATGACTTAAACAATAAAGGAGGTCAAAATGTGCAAGTAATACAGTATATGCAATCCAGTTTGTGATCAAAACCCATGATAGAGTTGTGACAGATCATCACCTCCACCAGGAATCA